TGTCCAGGTGTCTCTGGAGACCTGTCCAGGTGTCTCTGGTGAACTGGAGACCTGTCCAGGTGTCTCTGGTGAACTGGAGACCTGTCCAGGTGTCCCCTGCCTTCACCCAAAGGCAGCGAGGACAGGTTCCAGACCCACCCTGACCCTGATTAGTAACAAGGTGGACAGGAGGAGGATTTTTATTTTTAGCAGGAAACAGACATTTATTTGATGTTAATCTGAATCAGTTTAGTGTTGTTTGTAAATATATTTGACAGTTTTRTASGAAHKAACACGTTTGTAATGTTTGTTCAAAATAAACCTGTTTCTTATGACTTTTGTAACATGTTTTCAAATCATGTCCTTTCTAGTAATCATTAGAACGCTAGAAGAACTCTAACTCTTGTAGGTATAAAGGATAACAGTTAAAAATGCAACTATCAAAAAACTTCCTCTCGGTCACTGAGAATAATTTATTTACAACATTTTAAAGATCGATTATAATCTGGGCCCTTAAGGGTTAATGCTCCTGAACGAGAGTGTCTGGTGTGTATCAGAGGAGAGGAGCTCAGCTCTGTTTGAGTCCAGCAAGACCTGTGGACTAACAACTCATTCTGTCTGGACTTATGGTGTTTTGAGTTCACAAACTCATTGTTTTTTTTTTTTTTAAAGTTGAGGGACATTACAGCTGTGCTGCTGATCAGTGCTGTTTATAGAACATGAACAGACTCGTGTGAACCTGGTCGCACGCGGGGTCTGTGTTGGTGCTACTTCTATAAAAGTTCAATTTAACACATTATTATTTATTAGATGTGTTAAATTCAAATTATTGATAAGGTAACAATGCTGTARCCTCACCTGTCGCATTTYCTTTTAAAGAAAGAGAAAAAGTAGCTTGCAAAGCTGTCGCATCGGTGCTACGTGATTAAAAAAGGCAGAGTTTTTATCGCGCGTCTAATCACACACACATACATGTCTTTCTGTCTTTGTGAGGACCACACAGTGCTCACAGCCTCGCTCTGCGCCATCTTTTTTTCCCCCAAGTTTGGTAACAGGTGGATACGGAGGGGTGCCAAAATAGTTCCTGACTTGATTTGGCCTTATTTAAACAAAAATGACTACATGGCATTTTTGCCATGTAGTAGACTCACCAATGACTACGTCTCATTGGCGGGGGGGGGCAGGCCCGCCCCCCTTGAATAATGGTAGGGGAAACGCTGATAAAGGAAATCAACATTCTCACGTAGCACCTTTTCCTGCTTCACACTCGTGTTTTGACATAAGCTGCACAATGGAACAGTTTATCTGTCACCGGGGAGGGGTTGCTTAACTTTCCTTTTGTTTTTCCTGCATCACATTCCTTAAGAAGAATCTGACTGCATCTCGTAGTGAAATCACAAGGCTCGAAGCGTCGCTGACAGCAGGGTCGTCTAGCGTAAAGAAATGCTGAGAATCTGCTTTTGTTGGRGAAAAATGCACCACGTCCACTCTTTAAGCATCACACAGAACCATTTTTGTTTTGTGAACTTAAATTTTGCTAAGTGCGTTTATACCCTGAGACGTCTAATTCCTCTTTTTGTTCTTGCCCCTCTTTAAACTTTCCTGCAGGACATTAACAGTGTCTCAGTGTCTCCTAATGACAAGCTGCTGGTCTCAGGGTCCCAGGACCGCACAGCCAAGCTGTGGTCTCTGTCGGGGGATGGRAMCGTGAGTCTCCTGGGGGTGTTTCGKGGCCACCGTCGTGGGATTTGGACCGTCTGCTTCTCTCCCATTGATCAGATCGTGGCCACATCTTCTGCAGAYGGGACAATGAAGCTGTGGAGCCTGCAGGACTTCAGCTGTCTGAAGGTGGGACGGGGAACGGTGGGGTTAGTCRTTGTCTTTTTTCTGTGGCTGCTAACTAGTTAGCCTGACTCTGAGCGGTGTTGTTTCTTTTATTCCTCTGAAGACGTTCGAGGGCCACGATGCATCAGTTCTTAAAGTCATCTTTGTTAGCCGCGGCACACAGCTGCTGACCAGGTAAACACRTTTATTTTGAATAATAAAAAACACAGGGGTGTTAAAACCAGGTAATAAAAGAAATAAAAGTACTAACTAAATAAATTTGAGATAAATGTGTAAAACTAGGGGCTTAAAAATGCTGAAGCTGCAGCTCATAAATGTCTTCCCCTCTCTCATATCATTTCTGCGTCTCGTAAACAAATTTTAATAATCTAGATATTTATATTAACCTTTGTCCTCAGCGGTTCAGACGGTTTAGTGAAGCTGTGGACCATAAAGACCAACGAGTGCGTGAAGACGCTGGACGCCCACCAGGACAAAGTGTGGGGGCTCCACGCCAGCCGCAAAGACGACAAGATGGTGACGGGCTCTGCAGACTCCAACATCACCGTGTGGCAGGTGAGCAGGAGCCGACAGAGGCACGGAGGCGTCATCATCATCATCATCATCATCATCATCAAACTTTATAAAGCACTATAACATCAGCCACCGCTGAAACAAATTGCTGAACACAATAAATAAAAACTCAATACAAAAACACAATAAAACCACACAGTTAAATAAGTAAAATCAACATCAATACAGTAAAAGTTGAGTAAAATCAAATCTCGGGTTGAAGGCCACTGAGAAAAAATAATTTTTTTAAACGAGTCKTAAAAATGGACAGTGAAGGGGCCTGTCAGACATGCAAGGGCATGGAGTTCCACAATTTAGGGGYACTAACAGAGAAGGCCCTATCTCCTCTGAGCTTCCATTTAGAACTGGGAATGACCAGGAGCAACTGGTCAGCAGACCTGAGTGACCGAGGAGGAGCGTAACGGTGAAAAAGCTCTGTTAAATATGGTGGAGCGAGGCTGTTTAAAGCCTTAACAACAAACAGACACACAGGCAGCCAGTGGAGGGAAGCCAGGACCGGGGTGATGTGCTCTCTTCTACGGGTTCCTGTTAAAAGATGGGCAGTAGCATTTTGCACCAGCTGCAGACTTGCGAGGGATGACTGGTTTACTCCAAAGTAAAGTGAGTTACAGTAATCCAGTCGAGAAGAAATAAAAGCRTGGACCACTGCTTCAAACTTTTGCCTTGAAAGAATAGATTTTATCTTTGCTATTTTTCTCAGGTGATAAAAACTAAACTTAACTGTAGCCCTTATTTGACAAGTTTAAAATCACTGTCCATCTTAAAACCAAGGTTTGTAGTTGTGGGCTTGACATACATAGCCAGGGGGTCTAAATCCACTGGAAGGCTTGGGCATGCTCCATTAGGTCCAAAAACAACTATCTCGGTCTTTTTTTCATTAAGATGCAAGAAATTTAGGGCCATCCGAGCTTTAAGATCATCGTGACATGTTAAAAGAGGCTTAATGGACCAAGCCTCAACTCGCCTTAGAGTTAAATAGATTTGGCAGTCGTCAGCATAGCAATGAAAGGAGATGCCATGATTTCTAAAAATTGAAGCTAAAAGCAGGAGGTACAGAGAAAAAAGCAAAGGCCCTAAAATTGAGCTCTGGGGAACCCCACATAACAGAGGAGCAGAAAAGGATTCAAACCCTGCAATTTTTACGGAAAATGTTCTGTTTGCCAGATAGGACCTTAACCAGGGCAGTGCTGCTGATGCCTACCTGGTGCTGTAGACGCATCAACAAAATGCTGTGGTCTGCTGTATCAAATGCATTAATTACAAGATTATCTGGGAAACAGAACGAGGAAATGTTGTGTGTTTGTGCCCCACCAGGACGTGACGGAGGTGGAGCTGGCGGAGGAGCAGGCCAAGCAGGAGGATCAGATACTCAAGTGAGTTCTTTTCATCTCTTTAGGTCTGAGAACTTTGATCTCACTTTRCAGAAACTGTTTTCAGTCGTTGTTTTGTTCAGATCCGGACTGCAAACGTTTGTAAGAGTTTCTGAAATAACTATTTCTTTTGGAACTTTCCTACTTTTTATSTACAACAAACACACAGACAGCATAATTATTAACATAAAAAATACTGTTTTATTTTGTCGACGTGGCAACAATAAATTTTTTTCCTCATTTGGTCAGGCTGTTTTTATTCAGACAATAATATTTTTATGTTGCACCATGAAATTAAAGAACAAACTATGAATGCAAGTAATTATCACCTGCTGCCATGAGAGGGAGGCATCTGTGAGTTTGTTAGCAAGATATCCTATAAACGACTGGGTGGGTTTTAATGAAATTCACTCAAGTAATAACTGGATGTGAATCTAAAACTGGGTAGTTTGGAATAAAAATAATAAAATTTGGCTGCTACAGCTAGCTGACTTTAGCAAACACAAAAATGGCTGAAAGTCAGGCAGTCTTACTGCTGAGCTAAAATTAGGTGTGGTAGTAGCTCAGAGTCCGTACTAATACTAATGCATCATTAGAGARCTAACACATCCTTTTTTCTCCTTTGTTAGTTTGCTTTAAAAACTGTAAAATGAATACAATGAAAAGTTTGATGGTATTTTTATATCATAGCATAGCATAGCACCTTCCTGAAAGCTTTGTTTCTGCCATAAAAACTCACCAGTTTTCATCAGTATCCACATGTCATGTGTTTTGTGTCTGAAGGCAGCAGGAGTTGTCCAACCTGCTCCACGAGAAGAAATATCTGAAGGCCCTGGGTCTCGCCATCTCTCTGGACCAGCCTCACACGGTGCTCTCTGTCATCAGAGGTACGGGACTGATTCACACTTTGTCAGAGCTGAAACATGCAGGCTTGTTCAGCCCTGAACTCTCAACGACATTAAACACCAAAGCTTCCCTCCTGTTTGTTGGTTTCTCACTGAATCAGAGCATCGATGCAGAACAACACACGGCTCTGTCAGAGAACAGTTAATGTTCATTCAAGCAATATCTGTTGGTACACAAAATACTTTATTAGATGTGTTAAATATTAAATATTGGGTTTGTATTTATGGTTCTCGTGTTCTGACTCCAGAGGGACGAGTAAGGCCAGAGAATCAACTCGGAGTAATATTATGCTACTGGAAAATTTCTAAAAGAAGAGCTACTCTTACATAAAAACCTGTGGATATCTCTAGTGTTTTTATGATTAAGCATCTGTGAAAGGGTCAGTCATATTTTTGACTCACTGATTCCAAATTGAAATGAGCAAAAGTAAATCACTTTATTTAAATTTGTTGTCTTGTTTCTTTTAGCGATTCGCCAGAGTGAGAAAAGCCAYGAGCTGCTGGAGAAGACGGTGCTGAAACTGCGAGTCGATCAGAAAGGTAGCATGTTTATATGTCTTTTTAAAAGAATGACRCACAATAAAGACCTGAGTTACTGCCTTAAATCTAATTTATTTATATTTGCTCAAAGTTTCTGTTTTGTTAAACCGTCCTGCTCAGAGTCGCTCCTTCGTTACTGTGTGGTGTGGAACACCAAYGCCAGGAACTGTCAGGACGCCCAGGCCGTCCTCCAGGTGCTCCTCACTCACCTGCCCCCCGAGGAGCTGCTGCAGTTCCAGGGAGCCCGAACCCACCTGGAGGGTCTCATCCCATACACAGGTCTTTCAAACACACCACACGAGCCTGCTGGAAATACTACTGTTTTAACTATTAAAATACTTGTCTCACATTTCCTCACTAAGTCTTATAGGAGAAAAATATTCTTTAATTGCTTGCAAAATTATTTTTTGGCTTTTAAGCGGAAATATTTTATATTTATTCAAGGGTTAAGTAGCTTTACAGTTTTGTCAGTAAATAAGCTTGTTACCAGTCACATCCTAATGTGAAAGTTAATAAAGCATTAACTCCAATAAGATCATTTTTTCTTCAGTACTTTTTTAGACACATATCTCGTTCCACAGTTTTTATTCTATTTCAACAACTTGTTTTTCAAAGCGTTCAACTCTTTCAGGATATTCTGGCTGACTTTTGGTATTTCAGCAATATATACTTTTTGAGATATTTAGCGTTTTGGCCATTTTTATTCTCATTGAAAATGAATGAAGTTGTCTTAAACAGTTCATGTMCTGCACTTTTCACCTTTTTGTTCTGTTTCTGCTTTTTAACTACTTTGTTTTCATTTTAGCTTCTCTCAGATTCCTTTTTTTGCCAATATTTTATTTATGCTTTTTGACTATTTAGCTTTTTAAAGTTATTTTGCAGTTTTTGCTTCTTTCAGCTGTTTTCTGCAAATTTTCATCAATTTTTAGCTAATGTTAACCTTTTTTTAGCTAAATTAACCTTTTTATAATAATTTTAGCTACTTTTCTTAAGCTGCTCAGTTAAGCAAACGTGTTCTCTCTGCTTCTTTGTGCTAGATTAAGCTTTTTTGACTATTTTACAACAAATTGCAAAATTTTTGTACTTTTTTTTCCGCAAATTTTTTCAGTACTGAGAGTTCACGCTGCGTTTTTGCAGAAAATGCAAATTCTATAGTTTTGTTTATTTTGCTGCGATCACTATAAAGCATAAATATATATATTTTATATCCCACAGAGAGACACATGGAAAGGATTGGCCGTCTGCTGCAGGCCACCATGTTCCTCAACTACATGTGGCAGAATATGAGAGTAGCTGGAGCTTCCAGGTGAGAAAGATCTGCTCTTCTGATGCTCTTTTTGGATTTCTAATCTTTTTTTATTGATGGTTTGACAAGAAATCTTCTGATAAAAGCCTCYGCTTATAAGGAACGACTCAGAGCTTTTTATAGTTTACACTGTTAATGCTTGTTTATTTTCTGTGGTTGATGATGCATAGTCCCGACACAAAACCAAGTTTTTCCTCTTCCTGATGAAGGTTGTGGCTCACAGAGCAGCATTCTTAGGCTGTGTCTCAATTCATGGGCTGGGTCCTCATGAGGATCCAGCCCATGAATTGAGACACAGCCTTAGCTGCATTTTTTTTTTGTTAAATGAAGGCTTTTTAAGTTTAGCTCAATGATCAGATGAGCTGATGCTGCACATGATACTGCAGGTGATTAAATGTGGAAACATAAAGTTGATGTATATATTTCTTCCTAGTGTGACCCAAGGTGAAGAAATGGACATGACTCCTCTCACACAGACCCAGTCTTTGTTTTTCGTTGATAAAGAGAAAACAGGAAAGGAAAGCGGTGATGAGAGACAAGGCGATGACAGCGACAGCGGGCAAGACGAAGATCCAGACTTTAAAGAAATCATTGAAGTCAGTGTCACAAAGAAAGCCTCTGAAAACAGTAAAGCCTACAGAAACCAGCCTGGAAGTGAGGAAAGCTCAGAGGACGACACAGAAGACGAGGAGGAGGAGGATCAAACTCTGCAAGTAAAGAAAAATCTCCCCGTTTTTTCTCCCCCACAGCGTCGCACTCTGAGCTGATGGGATCTCAAACAGGCTTTCACCTGCAGACTGTCAGAGCAGCAGGAGACCAGGAAGTAAGGTGAAAGCAGGTTTTACCGTAAAGACTGAAGACTTTCCGAGTCGTGGCCTTTTATCTGTAAATCACGTTTTCCGTACAGATTTTAAACAGAAACTGGAGATACTTAATCATTCAGSTATTTTTTCCCCAAGAAAATAAAGAGGCTAAAAGAGGAAGAACTGAAATGTAAAGATGTGGACTCTGATTTTTCATCCTACAAGTTTCAGTTTTCAAGTGTTGCATCACTTTGATCTACGATTTAACCCAGTTTCCTCATGTAACCTACATACAAATGTTTTGATACCATTTATGAATAAAGAAAAAACTTCTATACAGTGTTTACTGTTAAATTTTAGTTTTTATAAATTTAAATCATCCATTTTGTTCAAGAATATTGTCGGAGAAATGTCAAGACAAGACTGTGAAAATCCTAAGATAAGTTCACTTTCAACACACTAATGTTGTCACCTTGTACTGATTGTCTGTAGAATTACATAAAATGTCCTCATTTGAATCATGAAAACAGACAAAAATCTAAAATTTTTTAAATCAAAAACTCAGCAGCTTTAAAGTTGTTATAGAAACCCTGAGGTAATGTTCAGCTGCTCCCTTCTCCTCTTCGCCACTGTCTGYAGACAACACCAGCTTTACACACAGACACACAATGCGCACACAATCCGCTCCATCATTACCAGCTTGGTCCGAGAGGAGCCCCCACCACCATCACCACCACCAGCGTGCTCCATCATTGTATCACGTGATTGCTAATATAATAAATGAAACGTTCAATCCCACCGTAATTTTAATCTTTCTTTCTTTCTTTCTCTCTTTCTTTCTCTTTTTTTTTTGAGGCGGGAGGGGGGTTGAATGCACTCACCAGCTGAGTATATTTAATAATTTCTCCAAAAGCTACGCACAGATATCTGCTTTTTAGTCCAACATTATGTGCAGTTTTTTGTTTATTTATTTTTACCTTTGTTTCTTTTGTATATTTTTGTATATTCCTCCCCACACTCAGGTGGGGAGGAGGACAGCTGTAATCTGTCTCCTCAGTTCATCTCAGACCCCTAGTGGCGACTCTTAACCACTWAAGAGTCCTCTGGAGCAGTCTTAACTTTTCTTGACCGTAAGAGTGATTCTTAGACTTAAGAATTTTCATAACTGGTACTTACACTTAGGTCTGAGAGTAGGAGCAAATCTAAGAAATTTTCAGCACTTAAGTCTAAAAATCCACTCTTAAGACGTTTTATAAATACGAGTCCTGGTTCTGGTTAAAAACTCAGTTGTTTCAGATGAAAGTCTGTAGTTCAGGTGGATTTATTTCGGCTGAAGTTTGTGCCAAACAGGATTTTTGTAGGTCGGCCTTAAGTGCTGTTTTGATCCAACCTTGAGTTAAAATAATGTAGATTTTTACCTTAAAGAAAGTCTACAAGTTGGACATTTTATTTTTAAGGGTAAAGTGGAATAATCTCATCACAGCAAATAAAAATCTGGTGTTTTTAAAACTTCTTTATTGTTTTAGGTTTGATACAAAAACGATCAAATCCTGACCTAAACTAGATATATTTGTATTTCTTTAGAGGACAGGTGCACAGCGAAGTGAATACAGCAGGATTATAGTTTGTTAATGCTGAGTGTTTAGTACGGAGAATAAATTCAGTTATTTTTTTTTTCATTAGGAGCAAAGTGTTGATCAGACAAAAGTTAGGAGATATTCTGAACAGATTTTTAATGTTTCAGTTCTAATAAAATAAATACAATAACATTCTAAATTTGTTATTCAAAGTCCACGGCAGCTGACTGCAGGTTAAAAGTTCAACTGGTTATTCCGGTTTGGGTGGGGCGACAGGTGGGAGGTTCACCTGCTGGTCACCTCAGTCAGGGTGGGGGGCAGGTTGATCTCTGCCTTCTTGGCTGCGTTTTTGCGCGTGACGCTGCTGCAGCGGCTCATGATCTCCTGGGCTCGAGGCCTGGGGGGCACCTTTGGTGATGCTGGCCCCTTGTAGAGGTTGGGGTCGGAGACGCTGGGGAGTAAGCTGCCCTGCGGTTGGCTCGTCGGGCTGAGGAGGTTGGTTGTGGTAGGGGGCGGCGTTCGGCTGAGCCGCAGCCGCTCATCGTTGGCGCCGTGGCTCAGTTTGAAGGATGATCCGCCGGAGTCGGAGTCGTCGCTGAAGCTGTCGCTCTCAAAGCTGTCGGAGTCTGCTGTCAGCATCCAGCCGCTCCCTTCCTCATTAACGATGACGGGGGGAGGAGGAGAGCTCTCCTCTTTGTCCTGCACCGTGACGGGGGGAGGGGGAAGAGGTGCTCTCTCCGGTTTGGTGGGTTTGGTGGGTGGGTTCCTCTCAGAGTTACTGGGACCTTCAACTTGTGCGTGAGGCGGCTCGGGCAGCACGCTCAGGGACCGGGACCTCTGGATGTGCTCACCTTGGGTCAAATCGGGTGACAAGGACGTGACGGGTGACAGCTGGGGCAGGTTTTCAAAGGAACGGCTGTGATGCAGGCTGGGGGAGGATGAATTGCTCAGATCTTGAATCTCAGGAGCCAATCGGATATGAGGGTAGCTGTAGGGCTTCAGGTGTAGAGCTGGGATGTAGCCTATTTTCCCATCGTGTCTGTCAAAAAACGAGATTTACGTTTGACGCATTTTGGAGTTTGGATCTTTCAAAAGATCAAACATTTCTGATCTGATCAGAGGCTTGTTTTCATAAGCTGTGAGTTACAGTGCTGCATGAAGTTGCTTTTGTACCTGATGAGCCACCAGCCGTTCTCAGTCTTCTGCAGGACCTCCACCACCGTCCCCATGTTCACAGAAATCTCATCCACGTTAGTCGACTTGTAGCTTTTGACAGCGGTGTAGAGTGTGCCTATGGGTGGCAGAGAAACAGTCAAGAAAATGGGTGATATGTTTGTTTATGCAAAATGTTGGTCCTGTCTGTTATGCTACCTCTTTTTGGAGTCTCCTCATCATCTTCAATCTCCTCATCCTCTACCATCACCAGGTAAGGTGCAGGGAACCAGGCCATCTGCTTGTTTTCATTCTCTACAAGCCACCACCCTGAGCAGACAGCCGTGTGTTAAGCTGTATCAAACGTGGACCCTGACTGAGACGTGTTTGCTCACCTCCTTTGTCCTTGATGAGCACGTCCAGCTTCTCCTCGGCGCTCGCCTTGAACGTTTTGTTCTTGGTGTCTTTGGTCTCGTAGGACGCCACGCATCTGTACGTCTCTGTGACGAACGGCTGGGTCACGTTCCCGCCGCCGCTGCTGCTGTGGCCTCCGTCGCTCCTGATCTCGTCCTCGGAGGGCACGATTATGATGCTAGGGAGGATCCAAGCCGGAGGAATGTGTCAAGACTTTAGTCTTTAAACGCTCCTTTTCCACTAGTGCCACTGAGTGTCRTGTYGGTTCGGGTGCTTTTCCATTGATGTTCCAGTGCGGTTCCAGTGGGTGTGTTTTGGGCGGTTGGTGGAGGTGGTTTTTGGGTTTTTCGAAAAAAGTTAATGCGCAAAAATGAAAGACGGAAACACATTTTGCCGAATAAGTTCTGAAATAAAAAAAAWTTGCTAAAAATTCAAATTAAAATTGGATGGAAACACGACTAATGTCGCTGCTACAATTGGAAAAAATGGCTCCTTGAGTTGTTGTAAAGGCAGCTTAGACGTAACCAGTGACTCCACCCCCCTAGCCAATCAGTGACGAACAGTGTTCTGACGTCACATTTTGGTGTCGACTGGGACCACTTGGAATCCCAACGAAGTAGGTACTAAAAAAGGGGCTGGTTCCATGAACCTGGCCTAATGGAAATAGCTTTGAACCATACCGACACAAGTGGCACTAGTGGAAAAGGGGCATTAATGTATTTCATTTGCTTTGCAGCAGAAAAGGCACAACTTTAAGTCACATTTGTGACCCATCATATCAAACTGGTCAAACTGCATTTTGATACCTGGATCATCCTGATATAAGCAGTTCCAGAGAAATGCTTTGATTTGGCTTGTTCTTTAAGATTAGATTTCAAACAGTTCATTTAAATGATCCGTTGATAAGACATTTATTTATTATATTTTGACCCAATGCAATTATTGCAAACGTTTTAATTCACTATCGCAGCTTCTTTCTCCATGTACCACTTTGGGGCTTAATCCATGGTTTGTAAGTGATGGGTCATTTTTCTTTTCACTGGTGTTTGAATGCAGTTGCAGCTCTGTGGCAGGCTGAGATGATGAAAACTCTGCAACTGATTAGATCTAAATGTAACCTGATACTTGGACGTCAAGCCATGCGTGCACATATTTAACACATGAAGCTTTTTCAGAGTGAAAACTATCACAGCAAAGGCAAAATAATTCACGTTAAATAAAAATTGTTCAGTTTGTAAGGTGTCAATGGAGACAACTGTAGACTGTCTTCGTGTTTTGATAATCAGWTTAAAATGTTACCCGCCCTTGGTGAACTCCGGCTGCAGCTCCTGGTCTTTGGCCTGGAAGAACTGGATCAGGTCTGCAGACTGAGACACCCGTGGGTCACAGCTCAGGAGCTCGTTGCAGTATTTCTGCAAATACTTCAGGCGYACCAGTGATTTGCTTGAGCGTTTCGATCGGCTCATCTTCATTTTAATCCCTACATAAACACAGGGACACAGATTTAGTTTAACCCACATCAGATCGTGAGTCCGACAGACTGAWCATGCACTTACCTTTAAACTTGGGGAGGATTCTGTCAGATTTTTTTCGTTTACTCGCAGATGGAAACGCTGCCTTCAGCTGTTTCTGTGGGACACAAACAAAGGTAAGTACCACGAGTGGTGTGYGCAAGAGAACACAGCAAAAATGCAATGATTAAAACTTACATGCAAGTCCTTGAAATCCTCAAAACTTCTGTAAACGACGACTTCATTCTGGTCCGACCAAAGCACGGCGGTCATGTACATCTGGAGGAGACAAAACACGAGAGGTGATCAAACTTTACCACAAACAAGATGACAAGAACAACTCTTTGCTCTTTACTTTGGCTTTCTCCTTGTGCAGCACTCCATCCAAACGGACACTGATGGGGTAAAGCTCGGTTGTCATGATGACTGGACAAAAGGAGCTGCGACTGTGGAGCAGATGTTCTGCAGGTGAATTTATACCTCCTCCTCAGAGAAAAGGTGTGGCTCATCACGTAGCACGTGACTGACTGGAAACTCTTATCTTCAGGTAAAAATGAAATACTTGCGTTGTTCCAAACCCTGCCTGTGTGGTATTTTTACCCAGTTTCCCTCAAGGACTCAAAACAGGTCAAGCCATTATAGGACTGACCGGTTGGACTGTAGGTGTCTAAAGGTAAAGAGAATCTCTGTAAAAAAAAAAAAAAATCTTAGAGTTCAGGAATTTTAATTGGCTGTTGCTGACATCTGGTGTCTGTGGACAAAACTGAAGTGAGAAATAAAGTTGGATTAAAACATATTCAAAWGCACAAACTAACAAACAACCCCAGGCTATAAGTGTTAAGTGCGTTCTTCCAATTAATGATAAAATCTGGATTAACAAGATTATAATACCATAATTCAGCCATCAATGTGTTCATTCAGTACAAACAGGATTGTGTTTTGGTTGAAAGGATAGTGTATTAATCAGGGCTGTCACACTCATTTTCCCAGAGGGCCACAAGAGCATTACGGCCCTAAAATGGCCAGTTGTAATTCACTTAAATTAAACACAAAACATCACGTTCCTCGTCTCACTACAGCTGAGCACTGCTAACAATAACTGAGCTCTACGTGGTATTTCATGCAGACAGTTTTAACGTTTACTTATGAACACTGAAGAAGTTGTCAAATTATTTTTCACGTCGAATTTCACCACTTGCCTACGTTTGAACCCTGYGGGATAACTTGGCCGGTAAAATAATGGACATGCATTATGGGAGATGTAGTTTACGGTCAATGCTGGCTTTAAAGCAGCTTGTTTGAAGACATCTAATACATCTTTGAAGCTCTCGCAGGCCATATAAAATGCTGTGGCGGGGCCACATTTGGTGAGTCAACAGTTTAAATAAAGAACCTACATCTGTTAGCTGTAATGTGATGAACTTACACATTGATYACTAGCAAAAAATAATAATTTAATGATCAGAGTCGTAGACCACTCAAAATTTAGTCTGAGATTTTTTTCATCCCAAACGTTTGTGGACACTAAAATCAAAAAGGATCATCTTTGACCCTCGATGTGTCCAGATATGCAGTTTTGACCTATGTTAAAAGGCTACTTTTTAAAGAGCTCATAAGAAATTATCAACAGAAAGACAGACTGTGCAATTGTCCAGTCTCAGGCCAGGCGTATGTTACAACACTAAATCTATAYCTTTAAACACCTTCCAGCATTGCATATGAACTTTAATATCTCTAAATAGTATAATTGAKAAGTGTCCTTTCAATAAAATCAGGTACTTTGCTTTTATTTTTAATACTTCATTTTTTGATTGTTTCTGGCAACAAATGTCTTAGTTTTAACTTGACAGATAACAGAACACTAAAGCCACTGAAAACACACCAAGATGTGTAAAAAACACTGATTTTTTATTTCTTCTTACAATTTTATTCTCAGAAAACATCTTCAAATAAGACATTAAATATTTCACATTTCCTCTTCCTCCATTGCACATTCTCCTCATTCGTTACATGATTCTTTTTACTGTAAATAAACGTCAGATTTATAAGGATTCATGTCTTCTTTCCACTGCCTTGATTCAATTCCAGCATTGTTCCTAAATCTGCCCTTTAAATCCAGAGATGAATAATTAACTGAACTTTTATTTCAAACCTGCTCAGAAAAACTTAATAATTCTGACAAATTAGATGAGAAAACCTTTTGCACATTTCTTTCCTTCAATTACAAAGTTTCTGTAAACCGTTTGTATAAAATAAAATGATAATTTGTCATAAAAAATAAAAATGACAAGGCAATAGCGTTTTCTTATTACATCAAAATAAGATTTATTTTGTCTCCTATGACTTAAGGTGCATTTGACCATTTTTAAAAACATGATAGTTCCCACTCAGCAAATATATATCATTTCTTTAAGCTCTGTTTGGTCACASTGCTGTAAAATAAACTTTAAAAGCACAAAAAATGTAAAGAAAATCCACACTCTGAATGAGGGTTCGTCCATTCACTGCATTGATTTTGTTGCATTTCTTTGATAAACACCTCAGAATGTTTCCCCTCATGCTTCTCAAACATCTTTCTGATACATTATTTAGAGCAACATAAACACTGTGTAGGAAATCTGTTCAGCTAGTGATCTTTGGCATGCAAAGAAYAAAAAAATAAGGTGGAAAACGTTGACGATTGTGAGAAAACCACTTGTTGGTTATCGAAGACCCGGGGTCTAAAACAGATCCAGCTTTTGGGTTTCCATAAACATAATCACGCTGTTTTAAMAAAAAAAAAAAAAAAAAAGAAAATAAAGCGCTCTGTCCCTGATAAACACACTTTCAGATAAGACGTTTGCTTCTATCCTTTAGAAATAAATCTAGGGAATCAAAGCAAAAATGGTTTCTATTTAAAATAACAGAAATAATAATAATAGTTACGGGAACAAATTTTCTTTTACAGTTGTCTTTTTCCCCTTTGCAGCTCCTAACGGAAAACAAGGCCACATCGATACAAGCAATTCATTCTGATGCTCAGACACGCAGAGAGGCGTTGTGTAAGAAGAGGAGCAAAGAACTGAAATGAAAATCAAGCTGAATAAAGAAGAAATGATTCCCACCAGCTCTGTCTGAACCGCTCGTTTCACTGGTCTCTGCGTCCTTCTCTCTTTCTTCCTGCTGCGATTCAGCGAAGCCTGTTGGGTCACTTCAGGTGCCCCTCCCAGTCAGGAAAACRGACCATCTGGGACGTTTAAGGAACCCCCCCGTCATTCAGCTGAGGTGCAGGTTCGTGTCCCGCTGTGCTCCTTTACATCACCGAAACTCATAGATGGGCACGCTGTGYTCTTCAATATGATTTAGACTGAGTGACTGATACCTGCAGTGGGAAAATAAGGAGACAGTGAGCACATTATTTTATATTCAGGTTTAAGGAGTCTGGTTAAAATGCGTCTCGTTACCACTCTGAGCTCCTGTGGTAGTAGTAGCCTTCGATGGTGGCTGTGGACTTCTGAAAGCAAATGTAGTAGAAGCCGGCGAAGGAGGCACCACTGATGTCTTTGATCGTGTGATCGGGAACTAAAAACTGCTCCTAAAATCAAGTAACACAGGTGGAAGTTGGAGCTTTGCGTAAAAAGAGAAGAAAAGGGAAAACAGCTTATTCTGATCTACTGACCTTCCACCTCATGAAGATATAATCACTGTCATCCAGCACTTTGTAGTCGAAGTGATCCGAGTTGAAGCTTTTGGCGTATTCGTAAAAAGCTTGGAACTTTCCCTGATAACAGGACAGAAAACATGAATATCCTTTTCCTTGTTTCAGAGCCATTTGTTATTTAAACGTTTTGCCTTATAAAAAGAACAATTTAATTCAGAAGAAGTGGGCTATAAAGTGTTACGTGAGTCTGTTAAATGATAAACTGAACGGTACAGCTCATGTCCACACGGCGTGTTCTTAAAAGGTTTGATTTTGTGAAATGTCTTCATGAGGCGGATCTCAACAGAAMTGAGTGCTTCTGATGCATAAAACAGAAGATGATCGCTCTAAAATCCTTTCCTAATAAACGTGAAACTAACATGAATCATTTGTCTTTATTAAATACCTCTAAACTCTTGAGGGCTCAACACACGGGAGGCGACATCGCTCGCTCTCCATTCATTTCCTATGGAGCCTGTGCGGTGAGGYGACAATCGCTTGCCCTCCTCCAGCCAAGCGACCGGCAAAAATAGTGCATATAGACGTGCACATGCGAGCTTGCAACGCGACATAAGAAAGTTGAAAAATGTTCAACTTTTGTCGCTGTCGCTTAGCGTACAA